GGGCACCTGGAATTGGTCTCTCTGTCTTGGAGTCTATATATGGCTTCATACGTGCTACACAGTAGTCAGCCATTTCCTTTGTAAGGTTCTGAAAGCAAAATAAATAAAATCATTATCTGTTTAGTACCTGAAGATGGAAACACATAAACCTACAAGTCTACTTATTATTTTATAAGGGGCGTAGAAGGTGGCTCTGTGCCAAAGGGAAGAACATAGATTAAGGGTGTTTCAGAAGAGGGTGCTGAGAAGAAATCCAGATCTTGGAGTACTCACTGTACTGTTAAGTCAAGAGAATTTTTATTTTTACAAGAAATATCTCAAATGTAGAGACTAGAGCAGTGAATGCACAGAGACAAAAATGCCAAACTCACTAACTTCATGAAGCACAGTCCTCATCGAGAAGCAAATAGTCACTCCGCATTTGAAAATTTTCCACCTTATATGAAACAAGCAGGTTTGTAACTATGTTCAGAAAAGCCCACAACCAGACTATCTCAAGCTGAATGAACAAGTCCACATCTTCACCTTATTTCCTTAATATTATCCTTCCTTTGACACCTAGGCCTCCAAAGTGATGACAAAATATTAAAATAAATTTAGACATGTACATGCATTTAAAATGATCTGGTAAATTCAGTATGAGGTAGCATCATGATCATTTGATGGGAAATAAAAGGAGAAACAAATTGTGTTAACACATGATGTGCAAAACTGGAAATGTCACATTTGACTAAAATGATAATCCTCAGCTTTTATTTTTGAAAATATATAATACAGCTCTTAAGATTACTCACCGCGTACAACTCCTCTTTTGTGACGTATGGCCTATCACCTGCTGTAATTGCCCGGAATGCATTCTCAATTTCTTCTGAGCTTTGCACATTCTCAGTTTCCTTGCTGATCATAAATGCCATATACTCTTGTAATGAAACATAGCCATCTCGGTTAGGGTCTACTACATCTGAAACAGTAACTCAGAACTTCAACATTTACTTCAACTTTTCAGGGTTCTAGGACAAAGTTAATCTTTCTGTAACAGTTATGAGGAAGAATAAAATATCCACCTTATGCTATGTTTGACACTTCAGACTTTAACACCAAGAGAGAATGTCATTGAGATTTGTCAACAACCATGTAAAATAAAAATAAAAATAAAAAGAGAGAGAGAAAAGAGAGAAGCCTACTTTATTAAAGCCTTACCTAATATAGCTTCAAACTCTGGATCTGGTTGCCCTTCTTCTACCATTGGTAAGTCATAGCCAAGTGCTCGCAGACATGACTTAAATTCCTGTTGGTTCAGACGTCCACTCTTATCTTTATCAAAGTGTTTGAACATCATGGAGAACTCTTTAAGTGCATCTTCGCTCACTCCTGACTGGTTGCGTGCCTGTATCTGTTGTTCCAGATTATGCTGCATACGCATTCCAAGCTGATCAAGTTGGTCCCACTGCTGAGCCAGACCCACTGTACTGTGCTCTGTATAGCGATTATCAAGAATCAGATGCTCCTCCAAAATAGCACCCAAATCCTCAATCTTCTTTAGGTCTGACCGACGGGCACGTACTTCAGTTGCCTTACGCTGAAATTTTAAATGTCAAATGTTAAATAAACATAAACAGAGATTTCATTACGAACCCTCAATTCAGAATAACACAGAACATTAACAATGTTCCAAAACCTATTTGATATATTACGCTAAAGGAAACACATGTCAATCTTGTCTATTACATTAATATTTTCTGAGGACATATCCATGTGGGTATACACGCAGTAATCTAACAGTTAAAGTAAAGTTTGTCCCGCTACGTGCCATACAGGCGCTTGGGGTGAGTGGAGGTATAGCTCCTCTCTTTCTTGACCTCGGCATATGGAAAAAAAGGCATGTTAATGAACAAACTAACAACAAACCTTGGTAGCTTCCAGCTGCTGTTCCAAAGAACCTGATCCTTCCATCATAGATGTTCTGCAATGAGTAAGGTCAAAATTAACTTTGTGAAAATAATGGAAAACTGTAATTCTCAAAGTTTAAAGGTTTCTTACAATGGCATGACTCAATGTGTAATATATTCTGATGAACCTTGTAAGGTTGAAACTAGCTCAAACAGAGGGCCCAAGAGAATAGTCTTTTCCTCCCACCAGCTACTCAAAAATTGAAGTATAAAACACATTCTGAAGCTTTAAATAAAACACACATAGACAATGGATGAAATCAACAGAATAATTATACACAAACCATACACTATCTACATTTAATGTATGGTCTTTTCACAAATTAGCCACAGGCAGCATATTAATAATAAAAAGCCTTAATCATGAACAAACCATGGCACCCATTAACTGTTACCTTTTCAACACCTTGTTATGTGACATTTAAAACATGGTTTTCATTTATTCAAATAAATGGCAATTTGTAACATAACTACAAATAAAGCTTTAAACTATACTGTTGGTGTCATGTAAGAAGTCACTAACTGAATTTTAGAATAGTTTAACAGCAAAAATGAATTATATGGTTCTTAGTAAGATTTGAGTTTCTAATGGTTCTGAAGATGGCCGTCTTCTCAGTTGTAGTGTCATGTGGTCCGGTAGAAGTTTACCAACATTTCAAAAGTCTTTGCTGCCTCCATCATCACTGTAATGAGCATGAACCTCTGAAATACTGGTAAACTTCTACAAGACTACAAATCACTACAACCCAGAGAACAGCCATCTTTATGTTTCTTCTCATAGCTGCATCCAAATAACAATTAATGAAATGTCAAGATATTAGTGACTTCTTCTACACAGGCTTCTGAATGAGTTCAGCTTGATGTATTACTTAATTAGATTTTGATAAAAATTTCAGTTAATATCTTTTTCCTTGACACTAGCAATATGATACATTATTTACAAAGCTTGCAATACACAAAACAAGGAGAGAAAACTGTATACAGTCTACAAAATCATGCTGGGTTAATCTCATGGCTAATTCTGGTTTATTTCAATTTCACTACATTTCAAGACATTTCAATTTATTAAAACACAATGTGCATGAATTTTATCAAAGATATATTACAATAGTTAATGTTGTGAAACGTTCACAGTAAATATTGCCTTCAAACTATATAATCCAAAGTAAAATGTATTATTTACAATATGTACAATTAAACTAAATAGCAACATGCTAATATACAGACTTATACAATACCATTCTATAAACACTCTTGCAACATTAATCAGTACGATAATAAATTATTCTTCAAATGCCAATTTTGTAATAATGTTACTGGGTTAAGGTTCACAGAAAATTTAATTACTCAGACAAATAAATGTGAAACAGCAGTGTGCCATTAAATCACAGCATCCAGATGTACAGATGATATCAAAACAACCAATTCAACTAAATAAAGCTCAGATTCATATAATTCTTTATTTAATCTTTCAGTGAAAGGGGGTGAGGGAAAGATCTCCAAACAAAAGTTATAGAATTTGCAGATAAATGCATGTGACTTTAGCCAATTTGTACTATTCAATATAGAATATAAGGTGTATTGTACCATCATCTTCTCACATGTCTGGAACCACTACCATTGTATGAGATGAACCTTGGTACAAACGCCATGTCATTGAAAGTTACCACACATTCAGGCTTTGTAATGCTCTGGCATCAACAATATCAACAAGGAAAGTGATAGCAACATTATAACCATTCAATATAAGAAGTGAAGTAAAGCTGTCCCACTATATGTCATATAGGCGTTTGGGGGGAGGTAGTATAGCTCCTACTTGACCTCGGCACTAGATGGGAGTGAGTGGTCAGCATCATGCTCCATTCGCACTTTACCCCCAGGAAGGACCCCAGTATCCACTGGATAGGAGGCTGGGTGGGCCCCAGAACCAGCATGGACACACAGGCTAGAGGAAATATCCTCTGCCTCCATCTGGGATCAAACCCCGGTTGTCAAGTCCACAGCCAGTCACTATACTGACAGAGTTATGCCAGCTCCTAACCATTTAATACAGAATAATGAAATTGTGTGGTGATACATCCCCGTAAAAATATTATTTTATTTTCATGTAATATTACATCTGCCTATACTGTGATAAAGGCTATTAGCAAAGTGTTAAAACTAAACTTTCAATGGTTGTTAAAGACAAGACTGTTAAAATTTTGGTAGTAGGACTAAATACTAAATTCATTTAGTTTATAATGAAATGGAATAATAATATTCACCCGTCCCAGCCTAGAAGTCGATACCTGTTGATGTTGGTCACATGAAAGCAGACATCATTGTGGAACAAAAATACATATAACATTAGGTGTAACAAAGCCTAGAGTTTAAACTGCATATAGCTAACTAAATGTATAATACTATATCAATTACGAATATATGTATCATTATAGGTATGGTTTGGTTTACTTGCCTGGTTTCTGTTAGCCATTGGTGGAAAGCATTTGCATGCTTTGCAAATTCCTTCCTCAACTTGTCATTCTCTTCCTGGCGTTGGGCTTCCTTTGCTAATTCTATATCACGTTCCTAAAAGGGAAGTGAATTATGCTCACAATTACAACAGTTCTATTCAGTTCAGCTCTTATTTTTAAATCTACACAACAAACAAGATACAACACCTACAGCATTCTTTGCATTAAATTACTAAATGAAACTTGTAATTTGTTAACAGAGTTTATATTTTTCCAGTATTAATACAATTTACTGTGGATCGAAAGATAAAATTAATTTATAAACATATGCACTTTTCTTAGACAAGTGCACTTATCACAAATTCTACCAAAGAAATGGTTTTGGCATGTCATTTGACAGTTTGCATTTGGTTCTGATGATTGTTTGGTTTGAAAATTACCTTTATAATTTTCTGCAAGTTCCGCCAAGTATCTTCTAAAGCCTCCATGGTAAACCAAGTGTAAGGATTTGGGCCCACGTTGAAACTCTTGATTTGTTGATCAAGAGCTGCCAGGGCTTCAAAGTCGGCCTGAGCTGATGACAGTGAGGCCTGGAACTGGGCATGAGCTTCCCGAAGAGCTCTTATCTCTTCAATAGAGTTACATCTAACTGGATCTGTCAGATCCTCCTCTGCATTCTCAAACCAAGAGTTGAATGCTGAGGCCTTCTTGGCAAATGTCAGATATAGTTCCTCAATCTGGCGGAACTGTTCCTGCATTCGCAGCAGACGCTGCTTACGAGCATCTGAATCAGCAAGCAATTTCTGCCACCTAACGTGTAAGAAACATATATTAGTTTCATGCAGTACTAAGTTGGGACAGGCAGTTTATCGCACTAATGACATTTTAAATTCACAGTTCTAGAAAAAAATGATACTTTATTTGGATTAAGAATTCTGTCATACATACTTTACAACTGGAAGAGGTTCTGAACAACAAAGAAATGCATGAAGATACCCAGGTTTACTACAGGATAAGTCAATATAAGATTGGGAAGACAGTCATACGCACAAATCCGTATCATACCTGGCAATAACATCAGCATGTCTCTTAAGTATTGCTGGTGTCTGGTCATGGCTAGCTGTAACCAATTGATCCTTCAGCAATGTGATGTTCTGAATACCTTCATGTTCAAAAGCATGGAGACCTGTTAAACACAATGATACCAATTATGACATATTTAACACTCTACAGAATGACAAAACTACATAAGGTGCTCAATAGTTTGTATTCATCACAAAATATTAAATCACATCACAGAGAATGAACAGATGATAAATGTATAGCTTTTGTCAGAAGACCTGAAAGGAAATGATCATTCAGAAAACCAAGGCACAGATGGGACGATAAAATGAAAATATTATCAGACAAAACAGACTTACGGAAATTCATCAGTGAGGTTTCGATACTGTAAGGACTTAATTCTATTTAGTACATTCCTCCTTATAAAGTGATGTAACAATTAATATTAGTTCCTGGAAGGGTCTTTTAGATCACTAAACATTATCAAATGCCTGGTAATTTTCTTCTCCCTTGTATTTCCTTTTCTCCCCTAATATTACACTTTTGTTTATTCTACATGATAACAAGCTAACTCAAATCTGAGTCATGGTAGTCATATCTTTTTACTGCATGAGTTCAAAAATGGTACTGGCATTCAATATTGTATTTTTGTAAGTTCTACAAAAGTACACTCATGGCCGCAAAACGATTATGAGGACCAACAGAGGACAACAATACGTGAATAAATTCTGTCACAATCATCTTCAAAAGACAATGAAGACATTTTGGAATCACAAATTACTTGAGTCAACCATTGTTTTATAAAAGAGATCATCCCATAGTTCACCATTCACTGCCAATTCTGCAGCAAAATTTGCATTCCCAGAGCCACAAACTGAGTACCTGTAACATTTTATAACCTCTGACCTTATGGAGATAATCACTGACCGAACCAATCCACATGCACAACAGAAAATTGCAGCCGAGTTGGCAAAACCAGGCACAAGACATCAGAAATATGGGCGGTGGAGGCCAAAGATACAAAAGATGATGAAGTGGCTCAATATTTTATTTTCTAAAGTCTGCTCTTTTCACTCTTTCACCAATTACTGTAAACTCAATGGGAGGTCAAAGAAAAAATTTCTGAACTATGTGATTGATGTCAGTGAGACACTAATCCATGCTGATCATAATGTATTTCATCACACATGCCAACATGTCCTTTTGGTAATCAGTATTTCCTCATGAGGATACCTCTTCACAACATTAATTGAGACTGATGTAACTATAAATTTATTCTCACCTGCATCAAATGTCTCCTGCTTTGTGAGGAGAGTCTGAACAGTGGACAAATCACGGCCAAATTCTTCAGAACGAACATGAGTTTCTTTGTCTGCAATCCAGGACTCGACAACATCTGCTTTCCACATAAACTGTAGGTATGCAGAATTGTCCATAAGCTTGGCCTTCCTACGTGCAGCTAGTGCTGCCAGATGGTCCAGCTTGTTCTGTGAAAAAGCAATTAATACACACTCACAAAAAAGCACAATACAATGTAAACTTTGAACATTCTGAAATTTAATAGATGTGGACAAATGACAATTTTACATTTGTGCATTTTTTAATAAATACTTCCATATTCATATGTTACAAGTTGAGACTTCTAAGCTCAGAAATAAAAATGTTATTGCATTTGATGATGCAGAGTCACCTGCAGAGGCTGTACAATATCACACTGGGTCTATCACCTCTAGGCATCCTACATTGTCACTTACATACTGGGTGAATACCTCTAGTTGTCCCATCTTTAGTTAAGATGATGATGCAATGGAAGAATTGGTGGTGTTATTTAAAACCAAAGATCCTACCGCCAACAAAGAAACGGCTCTAAAAAAAATTCCCTTAGAAGTTGCTTCAGAAAGGAGCTGCAGAAGTAGCTGTCACATACTTCAGTTCTTCATAGTTCATGCCTGAAGCCAAAAATCTCAAAGTCGCTGACAATCTTTCATGAGGACTGATACATTGTCTCATATTCGTGTCCTGTTTTTTTATCATAGGCGTGACTAGTCCCAATAAGCGGAAATAAGCACACTCATCCATTCGTAAATAGTTTCTCCAGTCTGACAGCTCCAAACTCAGTTCACTAATTAAATTGACGTGACTTAAATTGCTTCTATTTAAGACCCATTGCTTTGACCACTTTCATTTTGGTTTTTTCCTTTTAATATACAGGCATACTGCCGTAGCTAGTACCAATTCTTCGTCCATCGCAAACACCATGCACTTCACAGAGGGACAACAAACTGCGACTGGCGTGACGAGACCGTGAATGTAGTACCTCTTTGGACGACATCCGTTTGGACGTCATCCATTTGGAGCGATCGTGAATGGCGGCCTTTAGAGTCTGCACTAGATGAATGCAAGTGGTCAGCTTCATGTTACAGAAGTTTTTACCAAATTAGTAAAAAAAATATTCTAATAATACAGCAATCCCATATCAACAATGGTTTTTTTTCTTTTCAATTTTATATATTTTTGCCAAGTAAGATTTTAAGTTCCCACAACAATTAGTATGAAGATTAATGTCTTCTGGGATGTTACGCTGGTATAATGCAGTTGTTAAAAACAATCAGCTACACAATGTGCTTGTTGGATGGATCATCTTCAGTTAAATTCAACCTCCTCTGAATATTCAAAACCATTCAAATGTTATTTACTGCTGGAAATGTGAATTTTGATACTGAACAAACACTACCATATTCCTAACTGCACGCAGTGCACGTGTAGCTCTGATTTCAGAAATGTTCAAAGATAATCTGCAGAGTTCCTAAAATATGTACAACCTGTCCTGTGTTAAAGTGCCAACACAGAGACTTTATGATCATACCTCATATACAGATTATTCATCTATCTAATTATGAAAATGGATTAGCACTAAATACACATATACTAACCTGCAGTTGCTGGCAACGCTGGGCAATGCTGTCAGAATGATGATTACCATCTGCTATTAGTTTCTCACCAGCACTACAGATATCAGTACATCGGTCACGATGAGCAGCAAAGTCTGTTTCAAAGGCATCATGCTTCTTCAGCAAACCTTGCACTGCTGCCATGGTATCACCATAATCCTCTACAGAGAGCAGCTGCTGCTTCTCACTTAAGAGGAAGAGAGCAAATAATACTGGTCTGAAGCAGTGTATGGACAATGGGAATTTGGCATTACCATGCTGACACCACGAAGACGCACACTTAACAATACGAACGTCAGCTCCAATGATATATAATGATGCAAACATATTCACAACAAAATAACAAGATTTTTTCCACTAAATTATTGACAGTAACAATACAGGCAGTTAAGCACTGGCTAATAGATACATAATTCATGGTACGCAGATATAATTTTCTTTGTATTTTAGCACTGATGGTTTTTAATTATGCCAAAATACAACTGAGGTAGATTATCAAAAGAGGAAATAGAAATGATGCATTTATGACAGTTAACACTAATGTAGAACATGAAGATACACCATTTCAAAGATATCACAAACTAACTGAACTAAACATAACTAAATAACATTCCTACAAAGCCATGCAAATAAGCAAAAACTAAATTAAATTATTACAACCCTCTGCAGAACATGTAAACTTTTACATTATTTTCCTGTTTTCCTCTTAAGTTTTTCATTTTATGGGGTTAACTTAAGACTTCAGATTTGAAGTTTGTAAATAGGTTAAGCCCTGCTCTTTAAGATAAACAAAGCTACTTAAAAACAAAACTGGAAATTCTGTATTACTCATTATGAGTAGGAGCAACAATATGAACCTACTCAGTGCACAGTCTCACCTGATCCAAGCTTCCTCTTCCTCAACCTTGGCCAAGAACTGCTGATAGGTGAGTGACTCATCCAGTTTCTGACCTCGAGTGGCTGCCATCTGTTTCAGCTCTGCCCATGCCTGGTTCAGAAGTTTCAGGCGCTGAATAAAGAAATAACCTCCATGACACATACGAAAATAATGAATAATAATTCATCATTCTTGATGTCTTTACGATTATCTGAACCAAGAAGTTGAAGATTATATCTTGCACTTGCAATCTACCACATATAAGAACAAAGTTTTACAAGCAAAAGTCTGATCCATTATTTACAACGCATCTGCTGTAAAGTAAATAAACTTAACAAGCCTACTACTTTTTTCAACACCTCAAGAAACAATGGCAAAATTATATCTCTCCTAAATTTCATTAAATGAAGATTATATTTGAATCCAACCTGTTCAATTTCTGGAACACCAAGATTGGAGACATCCATCAGCTTCTCTGCTGCCTCTTGTACAGCCTGGATAGCTGGCTCATGTGATGCCAATTCAGTCTCGAGTCGTTTATGTTTTTTCTTTAGGTTCTGAACACCTGTCAGATCTCGTCCATAGTCATCAGAACCCACCAATAATTTCTTTTCTCTGAAAAAGTGTTATATTTTCTGTGATATATTTTGTTATAGCTACTGAGAAAAGGAACCACAGTATCCACTGGATAGGAGGATGATGGGCCCCAAAGTCAGTCTGGAAACAGAAGCTAGAAGATAAATCCTTTGCCCCCTGCCAGGAATCTAACCATGGTTGTCCAGTCTGTAGTCAGACACTATACTGACTGAGCTACTCCAGCTCCTATTCTACACTGACCTTTGTTTAAGAACAATGAACAAAGTTGCATATGACTTCCCGGTCTTAATGACCAGTTTACGTATATATTTGCAAATAGTAATGTAATACAAAGTTCAGTACAGTCCCTAACATATATATCGGCATGTCTTATAGATGGACATTTATACTTTTCTAGGGTCTTTTAAATTGAGAGATCTACTTTTTTCTAGGGTCTCTAAGTTGTGGGATCTATACTTTTCTGGGGCCTTTAAGTTGTGGGCAATAAATTCTATACCAATCTAAAATCAAAAACAACCACTGTTGTATTCTTACTTGATCCATGACTCCTCATCAGCAATGTCACGGAAGAACTGATGCAGAGTATTAGCTTCATTCAGTCTTGCCTGACGGTGAGCTGCCAAATTCTTAATTCTTTCATATCGTTCATTGATTGACTGGCGCTTCTCTTGAATGCTTGCAGTATCAAACTGACCACTCTCAATCAGTGAATCTGCTTGAGCATTCATATCTGACAAAACAATAAAAAATACCATCACAAAATAAAGCTATTACTTTGAAATACGTTAAACACCCAAATTTTGAAACTGCTACAAGTATTACTATGCCAAATATTTATAATAAAGATTAGATGCGAACGGACTGCAGTACCTTTGATGCGATCATCATGGGCTTGGATGTCTGCCTCAACCAGTTGATGTTTCTTGATAAGATTCTGCACTGATGCAAGGTCTTTACCAGAATCTTCAGATGTGAGAAGGGACTCAACTTCTCCCAACCAGAAGTCCAAATCCTTAACTGCAGCTATATAAGTACGTTGTTTGTTTGCTTCCTTCAGCTTAACAGTCTTCTCAGTTGTCTTCTGAGTGAGGTACTCCCACTGGTCAGCAATTGATGCAAGTCGCGCCTACAGCAATTAAAATTACATCCTGCAAGCTTTACATATTATTCAAAGAGAATCCTACAATTGCAGGTTACTTATGAAAGTTTCCATTCTGGAGGAAACAACAAAGCTCTCCTTTATATTCATGTCATAATGACGATATTAAAGTTATGAACACAAGTAAACAAAACAGACAATATCACACACTACATACAAAAATGTGATTTTCAGCTCCAAATGAAACTGAAGAAATGAAACAGGACAAAAAGATACCTGAATTTAAACTGTTAATAAAATTAACATAATTTTCACCGTAGAATTCAAACCTTAAGAATTCAGTTACTTCAGGGCCCTCAGCATTCACAGTTTCCTTTACACAGAAATTCAGTCATTATGAATGCACTAAATACAATGCTTCTTTGAATTTACATCCTTTGCCAACTGGAAGAAATCTATGAAATTTCCATATGAAAATATGGAAACAGCCTGAAATATCCACTACATGAGACTGGATTAATGGACAGAAAAATTCTCAATACTTCTACAGGGAATAAACCCCAACTATTCAGTCCACAGTTACTTCACTAATACCACATCTGAGATAACAGAAGGAGTTAGGAATAGGGGATATTTCATTTAGCAAAGAAAGATACATTGTACACAGGAGGAGAAAAAGAGGGAAAAAGAAAAAACTGTTTCCTATATAAGTTATTTCACACCAGTGCAGGTAACTGCAAAGGGACATTACAACATATAAAAATATATTTATACACTGCAAGCTAACCTGAACTGCCTCCTCAGAACCTGCACACTGATGCTTATCAATCAGGTTTTGGCCCATAGCTAGCACACTCTGAATTCTATCCGCATTAGCTGCTAGCTCAGCTTCAAAGGCTTGATGTTTCTGGTGTTTGGATTGAATATTTGCTGGATCCTTGTAGCTCTCCTCAGTTGCTAACTGCAATTTCTCTGCAATCCAATTCTCCATCTCATCTGCATCTCGGCTGAAAATATTTTTAGGGGGAAAAAGAAACTCTTTTACTAAACAGTTGTAGGTGGTATAAACTGCCCTGACTACCACACACACACAATATTTTATATTACTAAGAATCTACCCTCATGTGTGACACAAAATGATTGCACTACTTGTCGATTTACATTTCTTATTCAGTTTTTATTAGAATTGTTACCACAAATTGTTCTGATGATATGCAGATATACTGTACAAACAGTGAATGCCAGGACCAATTGTGGCAGGATTTAAATGCACTGCATAAAAAAATTTGGAAAGCCTAAGCGATTTAAAAATGTACATGATAAAAGTTAAACATACCTGAATTGCTGAAGAGTCTGTGACTCACCAAGGCGAGAACGCTTCTCTATTAGTGCCTCCTTCAAGTGGCGCCATCTGTCCAATACCTGGCGTCGCTTTTCATCAATTGGTTGTGATGCATAATGTTCTGCTGCTATTAGCTGGTCAGACAGTGTTTGTAGAGCTGCGATTTTCTCTTCCTGGAAACCAAACCTACTGTAAATTCTACATCCTGTACCAAAACGTGCAATACAAAAATAAACATTTAAATCTTATTATGAACTATATAAAAGAGTACAATAAAATCCTCTCGGGCTATCAGTCGTGTCAAGTGGTTAAAACATGAAGAAACTGACGTTTCAAGGTCCATCACCGAAGTTCAGTACCCTGAGGACGAGGTCAGTGATGGACCTCGAAACATCGGTTTCTTCATGTTTTAACCAATTGACATTGCTGATAGCCCAAGAGGATTTTATTGTACACAGTCGCCGTGAAAGCTCAAGATTATACATAAACAAATGAGATTAAAGATGAAAGGCATTAATAAATAAAAGTGTTATATCTTTTGGAAGGATAGCTGCCTATCCTTTGTGATGCCTACCACAGCAAACTGTAATAAACTGAAATGACAATGCCCACGAAATAAAATGTAGTGATTCTCTGGACTCAGTACTAAATGGTGTAGCAAAGTGTTAACTGGCACCAATTCTGACTTTCATGTTCAGCTTTTCTGCCAGTGCTAAACAAAGGAAAACTGTACTTTGTAGGGACCTCTGAATGGCCAAAAAGGCCTGAGTCCTACCTACATGGAGGGAGAAAAAAAGTAGCAGCAGCAAACTTATAAAATGTAACACCCACATCAAAAATTTAATTGTTAAGGTTTCCCCTGCATTTATATAAATGCAATACAACTTATTATATAAATTCAAATAAAATAATAATGATAACTTACAGCCTTAATCACCAAATGCATTTTTCACCTTGGCACGAAGGTGTGGAAGTTAACGAGAATCTTTTAAAATGTCTTCTGCCATCTGTTAAGTGTTTTTTTAACAGAAGACATTGTATGTTGTTATGTTCCTGATATATGCAACTCACATGGGCATTGATGGCTTTGTCAAAGTCTTCATGCTTCTTGATAAGTGCCTCAACGTTATCCCCTTTAGAGTCCACTTCTTCAGCCTGCAGAAAAGCTTCACGGGCTGACATCCAGTTTTCTGCCTGCTCACAATCTCTGTAGAAGAGCTGCAACTCCAGACATTGGTCAAGCTGCATACGACGAGCAATCCAGGCCCTGAATTTTTAATAAATGCATGTACTCAATAACAACTAAGATTTAACAAAATAAACATACAACTTCAAGTAGTCGATGTTGTTCCGGGTTGTGATTCAATGTGGACTCAGGAAATTACAAACATTACAAACCAGCATACCGTCTCTGTAAGTAGGAAAGATGAAGAGAGCACATTTTTCTGTAATAACAACACTGATATGAGAACCTCAAAACTCTCAGCAGCTAATTAATGTTGGTATTCTGGGTTATAAACCTGCAGTCCTGAAGATGGAGACAATGTTTTTTTCCCCCCCCAAAACAATGGAATTACCTTCAGGTACACAAGGCATTACAACCCAGAAGACCAACATCAAACCTCTTCACCACCATGAGAACCTTAAATCTTATGTAGCTTACTTTTCAAGTTCCTGTCGTGCTTCAGTCATACTCTCCAACTTTTCTTGGATCTCAACACTGGCATAATGACCAGACTGCAAGAGCTGTTGGCCAAAAAGTTCAAAAGCTTGGAATGTCCCAGCACGTGCATCAATTTCAGTGCGATGTTCCTATAAAAAAAAGGGATAGGTTTGAATGGAAAGTTAATTGGCTACAACAAAAAATACAAATTAATTGTAAATTATTCACTTCAAACCTTCAAAAAGCTGGGACATACATATGGCACATTCACCTACGCTACAACGGTCACTTTAGTTACATCAGGTAATAAATGTGGTATGTGTGTTATTCTACAAACAACGTCAGGCAGTATTGTACATTGCATCTGGAAATATGAAAGGAATAATGCTATGTATTCACTTTTCTTAATAACATCTTCCGTTCCTTTATCTCAGAAAATCCAGAATATGGCTCAGCAATAAATCTGTAATTTCAGACTTGGGACTGAGGAAATAAGTTTCCAACATGAACAAACAAAACAACACTTCAGCCCTGAAGATGGAGGTAATAGGATCCTATGAAACAATGGGATATACCTGCTAGCCCACATGGTGTTACAACCCAGAAAACCAAACATCAACATCTTCATTGCCATAACAACCTCAAATCTCAAATTTCAAACAGAGGGTTGCAAAACTGTTTCATAAACAAAAGAATGCAATGTATTCAAATTACACCAACAGCAGCAGTCTAACTCAATTCCCAATAAAAATTAAATAGCAAGGCTATAAGTTTTCATTTTTTGACTACACACTGACTGTTAGTATCTGTTAATTCAAGTAACAATAAAACATAAATGGGCAAACATGATCTGGAGCAAGTAATGTCTATTATTAAACATGCTTTGAATGGACTGTAACATTTGTTGGGTATTGTATATTTTTGGGTAAGGTTTTTATCCTAATTTTGTTAAAACTGCATTCAAAACATCACACAATGCCAACTGGTCACTGCACACTAGACAAGCAGTGTACCTGTGGAACCCCATAGTGGGCATCTATCTCTGCTCGGTGGTTCTATAAGAAAAAAACATAAAGTCACCATTCTACACATCCACTGGGCACATAAATAAAAAAAATCACTGCTTTTTAAACAATATTTCAATATATCACAGCAAAAAAATTAAACATTTGAAAATTGTTGAGAAATTACTTTGCAAGTGATGCAGAAAAGAATACGTTTGAAACAGTGAACATAAACAACAAGCAGTATTCATATCTGACCTATTTTAACTTAAAGATTTCATTGCTTCATAGTTTTGTAATATATAAAAAGTTCCTTTCTGTATTGGTTGAGTAACAAGATAGTGAAGTGTTCATATCATACATTCTACTTTAGATCATGTATAAGACATGGACCACAGGTAAGCCTGAAGTTTAAGATATTAATAATTGAATACGATTTTACACAAATAAATTCACATTATATCCCACTATCCACAAACTCTTCTACCCACTACATCTCTGCATCTACTGTTGTCAATAAACTATCTTTATTTAATACATTCACTGTGACATCTTATTACAGCAAGAAGTAAAATGATTCCTATATCTGTAACAAAGACCATAAACTTCCAAAATGTTTCCTTCATGTATCCACAAAAATTCACAAATAACTTCTTTTGAAAAGTTCACATTAATCATACATACTTTACATGTCCCCCAATACTCATTCTAGACATCAAAAAAGATTCCTAAAAAAACTCCTACTGAACAAAAATCTTGGGTAGATAATTCAGCGGGACCAGTTTCAAGATTTTCAAAAGGGCAGAATCTGAACTCTAAAAAAATACCTGATTTTAAATGTGATGAACAAAAACTGTAATTTTTTAGAAATATAAAATTTCTGCAAGTGAACGAATGTATCCACAAGTTTTGAGAGTACTTGGTTTAATGTCACAAAATTCTTCTTGCATCATACACGAGATTTGATAAATAAGATTTTATGCAGTAATGGCAACATAATTCCACAGTTTTGTGTGAAACAGTTGTTACAGGATTCAGGATATTCTGTGGTTGCAGTAAGTGTTTTATTGGCAAAGTGATTTGTTTATTTAAAACATGGTCAATATATTGTTAGAACAGAATGAGAATGAGAATGCGAAACTTCATGCTATATTCATGTTATAGTTCAGTGATAAGCAGTGAATAATATTCTATATTACTCAACATAGCTATCTTCAAATTCCAACATACTCTTTATCCTGTGTTAAAACTCTGTCTTGAAGCTGTTAAATCCAGAATAATGTTCAGTCTGACAAGTGACCAAAAATACCAATACTTAACTTCAGGCTACCAATTCCTAAAACTGTACAAATCAGCCAGGAAGTAAAATTTATATTAAAATCATACAATTTCTGAAGCTTTAATTTATGCAACTTAATGGCATGAGGTGAATGGTGGCAATGAAAATAAAGCAAAACTGGAACTTCACTCTGATTTGGAAGACAGAAAACATTGTTTATATTAAATATACTGTTCTGCAACTACCACAACGCATAAAAATTATGAAAATTTGGGAAAAATGTGACACTTCTGCATTCCTCTGATCTGTTGAAGAACATTTATTCCTACTATAATATCCATGTAAAAATATACTTTTGTTACATTTTCTTACATCCTTACCTGATGTCTCTCAAGTAAAGCCTCAGCCCCTGTTACATCATTAGCCAGCTCATCACTAGACACCAGCCCCATCATACTATTGATCCATGACATGAGATCACGGTAGTCACTGAGGAAACGCTGCAGGTCATATGAATCCAGCAACTTCTCCTTACGACTGTTGGCCTTGGCAGTCAATTGTGTCCATTCCTCATTGATCTCCTTCTGTTTAGCATACGTTTGGTCAGAAGTTTCAGGATGTGTCTGCATTAGTCGGTTGGCAGTTTCATCCAACTGTCGAATCTGTCACGCAATAATACAAACTCAGGGTAGTCACATGAATCTTCAATGCTATTGTTCTAACAAATTCTTAATAAGAACAACGTGGGAGACAACTTTGTTACCTTATCTCCCAATGCTGCCAAATCCCTTTCAAGCCCCTCATGCTTGCGCTGCAGAGCTTGAACACTACGCAGGTCCTTGCCGAGGTCATCATTGTTCAAAGCTTCATCCTTCTCCTGAATCCAGTCTTTAGTTTCATCAACATCACGATGGAACCGCTGAACTTCGTGGGCAGAACCCAACTGAGTGGCACGTTCTGACGTAAGCTGCTGCAGTGATGTCCATTTCTGGTTCAGATCCTGAACACAAAATGCATATTCAAGCATATAACAGTTATACTTGAATCTAAATATGTGGCCAGTTGAATTCAATCCATAAAAAATTAAACATTTCTAGACACTTGTAAATAATGGATCTAGTAGTTACTTAGTGACTTATTGAACAGTACTATACATATGAAGGTGTTATAATTTGAAACACGTTTAACCCCACCATTTCTCAGCACAATCACCAGAATGATTCAAGCATTTGTTCCAGTGATACATCACCTATTTATTCTATTTTTGTGCAGAAATCAAGGCCCGGTGTTTGAACCCAACAATGCATCTCTTCTCTTTCAACTCATTATCACATCATAAGTGTTTTCCTTCAAAGAGCTATTCAGTAGTCTGAAGAGGCGAGGTTGTTAAGCTGATGTTTTGGAATACACGCCAGGTAAGACATTCAATGTTATCTATTAATCCAAGAATTGAAGTGAAAAATGCCCTGTGCATTCAAAAATGCTAGTAACAACACCTTTCTTAGAGTCAACTGTAGAACTAGCATTGCAGATCCATTTCTAGTATCTCTTGTTCAACACTCAAGACCACCAGTTGCCACATTTACTTGTCTGCAAGAAAACTTCATTCCCAGCAGCAAATTTTAAAGCACTGTTTCACCTTCCTGCAATTTTCCCTTTCTTATGTAGTGCCAATACTTTCCTCTTCCAGTACTTGGCTGAACATATGTGCCATGCATGTCTGTGTTATCAACATGCCAAGATAAATGTAACCATTTATAGACATGCTGTGCACTTTTCCATCCTATTTTTGTAAATAATTACAAAGTAGCTTCCAGTAACATCTCACAATCCTATAATACAACTTACTTCTATCTGTGTCTGAATCTTGAGAGCAGCCTCGGTTTGACCAAGACTCATCAGCTGCATAGCAATCTCATTCATTTCAGCAAGGCGAACTTCATTAGCTTTAAGGTCAGCCTGGAAATCATCAAACTTCTTCTGCATCACCTCTACTTGCTCCAAGTCTTCACCCACATCGGCCACCTGAACCTCAGCATAATTCTCCTGAAAAATATACAATGATTATTAAATGGAAGGTAATTATATTCTCATTACAGCTACGTTAATTGGTGTCTACAACCTTACCATGTTGTTTCCCATCACAACATATGAGCTAAATGAATTCAATCCCTATTTCCATCTTATTTATTTTAGATATGTTTTTAATATTATCCTTCCATCTGTGATAAGATTTTCCTAATGGTCTCTTCCTTCCTGGCTTTCTGACCAATGCTCTATATGCAGTACTCATCTCTCCTATTCACGCTGCATGCCTTTGACAACCCAACATTTGGTAATTAGTACAGATTAAGTTCCTCATTATGTAATATTTTCCAGTCTCCTGTTACTTCCTCTCTCTTTGGAAGTGACAATGTTTCACAACCATACTAAACAACAGATAAAATAATTACTTTACCCGTAACATATGAGAAGTATCCAATTCCAAAGTAAAATAAATGGGAGGCAGGGCCTGATTTACCTTATCTTTAATCCATGTGGCAAGCTCTGCAGCTTCACGAACCAGCACATATGCTTTGACAGTCTCGTTGAGCTTGTTCTGCCTCTCTCTGGCAAGGGCCAGCAACTGATCATACTGAGCTTGGATTTGGTTCTGCCTGGCTGCTATAGAGTTCTTGTCAGCCAAGTTCTGTTGTGATGCTGACAGGCCTGCTTCTATCTTCTTCACATATGCAGCAGGTACAAAACCTTGACGATCATTTACTTCAACTTTCCACCAGTCCTGGAAATAATTCAAATAAATCAAATTGCTGGCAACAAATCAATTTAGAGAAAAGTAATACACAGCCAAAGTGCCAAAGTACCTTGTTGTTTGAATTCAGAAGGGTCAGAACATCCCCCTTTTTCATAGAAACTTCACGAGGTGACTTCTCTGTATAATCATATAGCGCCATCACACACTCCTTGCCCGACACATCGATGACTGGTGTCTCTTGTTGCTAAAAAAAGAAAAGAGGGAGCTGCATGATTGTTTTACAAATGAACATCAAAGACCACAATGACAACACAAACAAATGGTTCCCTTATTTAATGATTGTATGCAGTACTCACTCTACAAGATTGTGCTTGTTCCCTCAGGGCAGAAATGGTGTTGCCAAATGCCTCCAGATCTGATACAAGAGCCTCATGCTTCTTAAGCAGCGCTTCACTTGAATCCTCATCCTTCCCATAATCTGTATTGCATACAATTGGTTCCTTTTCCTTCATCCACGACTCAGCTTCATTTGCATCAGCAAAATACTGGTGTGCTTGCAATGAATCTTCCAGGTCTTGTTTCCGCTGTGAAGGTAAAAAAAGGGATTATTATACAAAAAATTCCTATATCAAATATGCTTCATGCATAACTTACAGATAAAATGAAGCTGTTAAAAACTCCACTAGTCAGGTGCTGATGTATACTTTATTAATACATATTCCACCAACAGTATAATTAATACCAGCCTCTTGAAAAGTAATAAAATTAACAGCAACATCACAATACCAGAAACATTAAGGAATGTGTTGCTTCTGCAGACATAAAATACAGAGTTTAAATGAGGTTACATACACTCACAAAATGTATACTGTATTTATCTAAATGGAAGATAAGGTTTTTTCTTCATTTCACGATTAAAAGACAAAGGGTCATCTTGAATTCAAGTGTAAAATGTATATCTATACCTACTTAAAAATTTTAAGCTTGTAGTGGGTTTATGATTTGAATACGTAGTTAGAAAATGTAAACTACTGGGTTGTGCTGTAATGTAAACAAAGCAAACTGAAAAGATGCAAATACTTCTCTGATAATGGAGGCAGAATGCACCTCTGAAACATCAGTAAACTTCTACCAGACTACATAGCACAACAATGCAGAAGACAGTCACCTTCAGATAGAAATATGTTTGAAGGTCAGGAACCATGAGCAAAAATGAGTTTTCCTGAAGCACCACGATATTTATGAACAGACTACAGCATGGGGTGCAAGTCTGATTGTAGTACCTGCATAAAATTAACATATAAAAACAATTTTTCTGTGCAAATGTGTTTTTAGCAGGAATTTCCCTTGGATTCTAAGTAATCTTCCACTTGGATATATGCAATTTAGAGCACAGAATTTAACAAGTTTACAGCACTACTCACCTGCAGAGCTTTCTCTTTGAGTTGTGTCCAATGATCATTAAGAATGCCAACTCTTTGTTTTATTTCCTCACTAGCAAAGTGTCCATCATCAAGCATTTGCTGGCCTGACTGACAGACTGCTGCAATCCGGTTTTCATGATTATTTATCTCTGCTAACACAGCTTGGTGTTTCTTGATCAGATTCTGTACTCCAATCAGATCACGGCCTGAATAAAAATAAATAAATAAAATAAAAATAAATAGATACAAAGAGGCAAATGAAAAGCAACAAATCATTTCCAGCTCATAAAACCTAAAATACAGTTCCTTATCTGATGATGCATCAATGGGTTCAGTCTCTCTTACTTATTCACAGTTTATTTGATGACACTGTCAGCAGTTCAGAATATATAGCACTGAATGATGATTAATGAATACTCAATTACAAAGCATGGGACAGGAAGTGGTAGTGGCCTAATTTATGGTACTTTCCCAGCATCTACCTGGATAAATTGCAGATCTTGATTTAATGGTATTTAATAATCTTTCAAGTATTTTATCTCTACACCAATGCCTATGTATAATTTAAAATTACATTACCAAACTGAAAATATGACCCACATAAAGTCAAAACATCTTAGGAAAAAGTAGAAATATAAGAAAAAAATTAAAATTATGGAAGATTTAATAACAGAAAAAATAACAAGAAGATAATGTGTTTATCTTGCCTCTATTGGTTGATGCTGCTACAGGCTCCTTTTCTCTTATCCATGCTTCTTCATCTTCAATGTCACGGAATAGCTGCTGCACTTGAAGAGAATCTAACAGACGCTGCTTGCGAATATTCATGGGTCGCTGAAGTGCAGAGTAGCGCTCCGTCAAGGCAACCTAATTCATTAAGAACATTTATATTATTTAGAAAACCTAAACACTTACGCAAATTTTTCTTCAGGTATTTATGCTTGCAAAAAACATGATTCCTTAAAATATAATTGTAGACAGCCTGTATCTTTCAGACTGGCTATCTCTAAAATGAACTAATACATGACGTTAAATGTTGCCTGTAAGCTGCAATGAACTAAGAGAATTATATTCTAAGTGTAAAAACAAAATAAATACTAAATCTGCTCTTTTCTCAAAATGTAATTCCAAGTGTTACAGCAAATAATGGAGGTCAGTTTTTTCAAGTTCCAGTTGAATGTACAAAACTTGGATTTGCACGTGGCAACCATAACTGAACCATTACAAGAACAACCCTGCCCAATTAGTCCAAATACAAGTCAGGAGCTCCAAATAGTTCACAGCATTTGTACAACACAAACTTCTGTGTTGTAAGATTCAACGTTCTCACAAAGGGGAGAATGAAGATTGCCGTCTTCTGCGTCATAGCCCTGTGTAGTCAGCAGTTTTTCAATGTTTCAAAGGTACTTGCTACCTCCATCACATACCCTGCAAGTACTTCTGAAACACTGGTTAACTTATACCAGACTACATGGCATTACAACCTGCAAGACGGTCATCTTCAAACTTCTGTATTGTCCATTTCATGACTGGATATAATCAACCAGAATGGTTTTTATCTGATTGGTAAACTAAGAAAACAAGTTTTTATTCAGGGATATACTTTGTCCTTAGTTTCTATTAAGTGCTGCAATATTGGACTGCCACCATATCAGAATATCACCTTAATATTGATTTCTTTTATTTATGTAATACTGAAACATACCTCTTTTGATTTAATGTTATCAGCATCAAAGTGACCACGTTCTACAAACTGAATTGCTGCCACTCTAATTCCCTCTATACGATCTTGGTGAGATCCAACATCAGCTTCAAGTAAAGCATGCTTCTTCTGAAGATTCTGCACACTAGTTAAGTCCTAGATACAGAAAGTTTTCACATGATAATATGAGACTATAAATAAATATACTTTGTTCACTATTTAAAAATATGTGATGTTTTTTAAACTGCTTTAAAGCTTTCCTTTCTTGGCTTTTCTTATTCCATAACATTTTCCATGTTTCTGTATGTATGTCCTGTGTCTGTAACTTGAATATACTACATAGCACAGAAGTTCTTAAAATCTAATATTAAATGTACAACTTGTCTAACCAATGTATTTCTTTGGACAATCAAAATAATTTAGTTGACTGATGCTGCTATAATTTTTTGTGCTTTTGGCTGTAACATGTGTTCTACTGTATACATGTTTTGCATGCCATATTTATATTTTTGCATTCGAAGAATTTTATAATGGTTTTTATTTCTTGTCCAGCACCCCATTTTTTTGCATTCTCTTTTATCAGGGGCCTTACATTTGACATCCTCTAATTGTTGTTACAATGTGTATGTAGTCTACATAAATATCATGTTTCAATTTATAAAAGAAACAAAGTGCAAAGGACATAACCTGTGCTTCCCTCCCCCACCTGAAAACCATTAAAATTTAAGAGAAGAAATTTGAAGCATTAGATTTATGGCACTGAAACAAGTGTTTATTCCAACAGTTTTAACAAAATGCACACAGCTGCTGAAACAGTAATCCAAACACACCTTTCCATAATCCTCACTCATAAGCTGGCCCTCTATTTCTGACAACCACAATTCAACATCCTCCACTGTTCGATTAAACTGCTGTTGCTGGGATGCTTCTTGCAACTTAGAGCCCTTCTTGTCGGTTGCCACGACCAGCGTCTCCCACAACTGAACAATCTCATCCATACGAGCCTGGATTCGATCTGCACAAGAAACAGGTGCCAAAATCGGCTATAATTTATGCAGTATTACAGCATACAAGAATCTGACTTGGTAAACTCCAGATTAGAAGTGATATGCTGAAAAGACCACTGTTGTTTACTGTTGTATTCATGTTATAGGACATTGTATAAATACTCAATCAGTAAATACATGTTTTTCATTGATACATCAACTACTGAAGTTATAAGTACAAATAAGTATAAATACAAAATACAGAAGCAATGGAAAGCAATGTTAAAAGCTATAAAATCCATAACTGTCATCTATTATTAATTCTCAGAAATACATCACTTGGATGCTGACGCAATTAGCAACCAAAATGAAAAGCACACTTTTGTTCAAGTGTCACTGTTTTAGACAAAACTGAGTTTATTAACAAAAATATAATAAAAAAATTGTATCATGTATCTAGACAGAACAAAGACAAGAATGTGTGAATGGGACCTTTATGAGCTTTTTTAGAAAGGATTTTAGTGTATGCTAGCTAGGTATGTATAAGACATACTACACTGGGCTGATACAACAGCAAGAGCCTGGGCAACGCTTTCAATGGTGAACAAAAAAATATTTTGTTTTAAACTACTGATTTATCTCAAAAGTAACGACACCACTGCCAAATACAGAACACTGAAAACTATACCAATGACAAAGCATACTTAGCTTTCAATATGCTACTGTTTCATTATGTCAGTGGAGAAGAGGTGGAGTTAAACCAATATTCCCACAGTTCGACACAGCTAGACCTTCTCCATTACTTGATGTCACTTAATCCAAAATATATGTTTTCAGATATAATTGTTCAAATGATACATCACGCGACAGCCTGAAACACTACTGGATGATTCTGAGGACCTCGTATCTAAAAAAGGCTAGATTTAAAGAATTCGGAAACCATCTTTTCTTATGTTCAAATAATAAAACTAAAGATTTAGGTTTTTACTGTAATCAAAAAATATAAAAATTCTCTTCCAGCAAAGATGCAACTGTTTTACGCAAATTCAAATTCTTTATGTGTATTACCTGCTGCATAATGATTGCCTTCAATGAGTTCTTGCCCAGTTGAAGTTATATCTTCCATGCGAGTTTTGTTTGCATTCAGCTCCTGCTCAAAGTTCTGGTGTTTCTGAACCTTCCCATTCAAATTTGTTGGATCCTGATGAGAAAACATTCACTAATATAACACCAGTAAATATTATTTATGTCCCATTTGTAAGCAAAAGAATTTGTAAGATTTGAACAAAATTATCTACAGAAAGTAAAACAAAAAATTCTTACAAGATAGCTGTCATCTGTAGCAAATTTTAGCTTTTCATTGATCCAGCCCTTGGTCTCATCACAATCTCTCTCAAATTGTTGTAAGCGATAGGAATCATCTAGAATTGCTCGACGAAGGGCAGACTTCTCCAGAAGTGCATTTCGACGCTCAAGCAACTGAGAACAAAAATTGACAATTACAAAATGTTCCTGTCTGGAACACTATCTACCACTTATACAATAAAACATTCAAATAAAATCAGGAAACAATTTGATTTTTCATGTTACATGGAAATTATTTTCCTACTTTTTGCATCCAATTTACATAAATGCAGTTACTGTATCTGAGTAGGGCAAGGATTTCATAGTTACCATAGAAGAGGTTGCAACATGTAGTTTTACAGTTAATTCTTTTTATCAATCTTACATTTTCAGTAATAACAAAGTAACAGTAAATAATGCACTAGATTAAGTATAAATATAAACAACAAAGATGTAATTATCTTATCCAAAAGAATTTCCACAACACTTCATACAACAAAAAATAAAGACAATGGAAGAAATATAATCCAAAACTGTCATCTGAAATGAATAATCATAAATAATCTAATGCACTGTAAATTTTCAAACACTGATACTCTTGACACTTACCATAGCTCTACGCTGTGCCACATCATCAGCTGCATAGTGCTGGCCTTCTATCAGCTTAGTTGCAAACTCATCCAATGCTTTAATCTTCTCTTCTTGAGCAGCTAGAGATTTTTCAAAATCTTCATGTTTCTTAATAAGAGCTTCAACAGAATCCAAGGAGTCACCAAGATCTTCATTGGCCAAGAATGCCTACAAAAATAAGATAAAGATGTGTATACTAGAAGCATATAATATTGTTCCCATGAAAAGAGGAATGAAACAGCAAATTACCTCTTGCTTAGCCATCCAAGTATCAGCTTGTTCTGTGTCTCGATAGAAAAGCTGCAGATCCATACACTGCTCATACAAGATCCGGCGTTCTTCCCACATTGAGAGCAGTGATGTTTTCTCTGAGGCAAGAACCACAAGTTTTTCCTTCACTTCCTCTGATGCATAATGTTCTCTACCTAACAGCAACTGTCCAGCTTCAGCTGTGGCACGAAAGCTGTCTTCACGTGCATCAATTTCACCCTAACAACAAATATAAATTACACGATCAGAATGATGGTAAATACCAGACCTATGTTAACAGAACTCTCTACTTAATCCTTGTATTCTGGTCTGATTTACACATAAATCAAAGCTCTTCATGGCTCACAGATATATCCTGGTCATTATAAATCATATTAATCATTTATGTAGTTGGGACTTCAATAGAGACTGTCCACACAATCATAGGTTTGCACAGTCCACAACTCTGAATATAATTAGTAGGATTTCAGGTTTTTATGGCGGTGAATCTGAAGAGGCTGTCTTCTGAATATGACAATCCCTAACTACACATATACATATCCATTCTAATCACTACAGTATAAATCATAAAATAGTAAAATTTACTTTATGTTCTTGGTGACGTTCTAACAGTGCTTCTGCACCAGCCACGTCCTTAGCAAGTTCATCTGCAGAAATGATTGCCTTCATGTCATTGATCCAGGATATAAGGTCACGAAAGTCAGCCAGAAAACGATGTAGATAATATGATTCATCCAGCTTCTGTCTACGTTCCTGTAAAATAAAATAATGTATGACAAAGGGAGAAATAGCTGCTTTACACAGAACTCTCTCTTGACCTTGAAGAATATGGGAGAACCTACAAGTCACTTTAAGATACAACTCTACAGAACTACCTATATTTAAGGGGGTGAAGTCAAGAGCTCTCATACAAAGCACTTCATCCTACCATCCTACCTATTCTACTTTTGTATTTTTCTTTACAATCACATTAAAATTACAACATTTCACAAATGGAAGATACCATTACATGGGCCATGACACTATAAAAACAAACGAATGAATTTTACACAGCTTCTAAAAGTAATGCACTGTACTGTGCATATCAATGTTAAAGGAAATGATACCTTGGCTTTTGTAGTAAGACTCTCCCAATATTCAACAATTTCAGCTCGTTTTGCCTGAATCTGATCAGCATGGTCAGCATGTATCCCACACAGTCTGTCAGCTTCTTGCCCCAAAGTTGCCACTTTATCTTCCAAGGCTGCCAAATCTCTCTCTACACCTTCATGTTTACGCTGAAATAACAGAAAATTAATAATATAACACCTTTAATTCCAAATACAAATTCTGAATAACATGAGACAAATACACAAATCATCCTCTTTTCTACCTGAAGAGTCTGCACACTGGCCAGATCTCGACCATAATCATCTGACGACAACACAACATCTTTCTCAGAAATCCATGCAACGGTCTCGTCTGCATCACGGTTGAAACGCTGAATCTCATGAGCTCCAAACAGTTTTTCTTGTCGCATCAAAGCCAACTGTTTCAGTCGCATCCATGCCTCATTCAATTCCTAAGAAGAAAAAAGTATAGACATTCTACTTGACAAATAACATATATGTTGTGAATATAGTAAAACATTTTAGGTCTGATTTAATTAAATAGTTCTCAGGTTGAAAAAAAATTGTTAATACCATCACTGTATAAGCAATTCCAACCTTTCTATTGATTAAAAAAGCTGCTTTGTATATCAGAACACGTGCGTGACAGACAAATTCAGAAATCTAGCCAAACACTCATTGAATATCAATAATATCTGCGTGATAATTTCATTTTGAGAAAAAGCACCGATACAGTGGAACCTCTATCCATCGTTCCCGGAACTATCGTTTTCCCGGATGCATCGTCCGTTTTGTTCGGTCCCGAATACATCCCATATAAAATAATGTTACATTTTCCTGCTTCTATCGTTCCTCGAACTATCGTTTTATCGCATCGATCGTTCAAAAATCTTAGTTCCGGCCCACAATTTTCCCGCAATGATCGTTTCTGAGAATTTAAAATGCTGGGTTGAGATATAATAAAGACGCATAATGTTTTTGGAATACACAGTAGCGGTAACCTGTTATGTCGCCCAACCAGCACATTCTTTTGGAATGAGGGTCAGCGGTGCAGGGGTGATAGTTGGAGAGAATGGCGGCGCGCATTGTCAGAAATTTTACGATTTTAATTAGGGTGCACACATATTTCGTTCCAGCGATGCCAGATGGCATGTGCAGTGTGAAGTTCTTCACAAATGCTTTTATTACAAGGACAAAGGAAAGGCGAAAGTGCTGCTGTGGATGTGGAAATAACGGAGCTGTGGCTCGAGAGACTGCCAACACTGCTGGAGGGATATGAGCCGCGGGACATTTATAATGCGGATGAGACCGGACTTTTCTACAACGCCCTCCCGGATAGGACTCTGGCATTGAAAGGTGAATCTTGCCACGGGGGAATACGTGCAAAACACCGAATTACTGTTCTTCTGTGTGTTAACAGTGACGGTAGTGACAAACGGGTTCCGATTGTAGTTGGAAAATCACGAAAACCGCGTTGTTCTTACAAAATATAACCCAAGTAATGGAGTGAACAACCAAGAAGAATATTAGAGGGACTGAAATACTACTTTTACTACTACCTCAGACTACTGTAATTACTAGGATACAGGTCACTCTTGCCTATAGGTTAAGTCCCATTGAATAATAAACAAAAATTGGTACGGATGTTATGCTACCTTCGCTTTTTTTTATTTCCTATACCAGTAATTACATGGTAGATGCATGAACTTGTGAGGTGGAAGTGACACCAATACCAATTAATGTAGGGTCCTGGAAAGATGTATGGTGGTAATCTTCTTTTTTAAAAAAATTGCAATTTCTATAAGGCAATTTTCAATTGAACTTTGTATAATGTCAAACAACATGGTAGATGTGTGAAAAATTGTTTCAGCCCTTAATCAGATAACTGATGAATTATTCAAACCAGGCATATGTACTCAATTTCTAATTACGTACCTCTTTACGACGCAAAATAGTGTCACGTTCTGGATGACCTTCTACCACCAGTTTATCGGCCAATTCATTCACTTCAGTCACTCGATATTCCTGCGATACCATGTCCTTTTGGAACTCATCAAATTTGCGCTGAAGCACCTCTACATGCTCCAAATCATGTCCAAATTCATCAGTGGTGACAAATGTTTCCTTATCATTAATCCAGAACATAACTTCATCACACTGGCGTAAAAACTGTACCAGAACAAGAGCTTGCTGCAGCTTCATTCCCTTCTCTGCTAGCTTGGATAAAAGCAACTCCCAGAGACGATGAAGCTCCTCTGGAAAGTAACATCAAATAACATGGCAATTTTTTCCTGAAAATTTTATGTACATTAAGTTCCTTAACTTCAAATAAATCTTGAAGAAACAAGGACCACAAGTACCAAGTAGTAGTGTCAAAGAGCTCTTAAGTTTTTACTCCAAAATCTGACAACCTGAGGTGGTGGTATTGTTTGAAAGACTGATGCATTTCCAAAAATATCAGTGATTCATCCACCAAAATATCCTAATTTCAGAACACAGTTCATAATCATAAATATTATTCAAATGTGAAATTAGACAAAACATTTAAAATGTTACTAAGTTTCTCTTATTTTTAAAACTATTGATGATTCTACTGTGAGCAAGACCAGAACTCTAAAAGATTAATCCCAACTTGTCTTTTGTTATATCATCAATGATGTTGAAATTATCCTTTTGTGATTTCCTCACTATCACCTTTAGTTTTTCTTACTCGGGGATTGGGTTATTATCGGTTAGGTAATGGTAAACTGGAGTGAGGTGATGTTTAGGTGTGTCCTGGCTGTCAGTGTTCATTGCGAAATATAAATTTTAAAATTGATCTCCTTCATAACCTAGATTATATCTTATGGAAACAAGCCGGGGCATGGTCCACGGACTTGTCCAGCTATATTAGGTTTCTGAGTAATGCCCATAAACATAAATAGGTCCAATATGCTTGGCAATTGACTTCAGCCATTTGTTAAAAACCAGATGAAGAAGTTATACTTTTTGTCAATAACTTCCATATCTTACCAATCACTGTTACCTTTCATCATAGCATCTTGAACAGCACTATCAACCAATTCACTGTCAGGTCAATTTTCTTTAAATTCAATAATAAGTAAATATTTTTCCACAACTTCGTCACACACAACTAATAAACTGTATAAAAGTACACATCAACTTACCAAGCCTCCTGCGAATGATGTCAGAAGCAAAATGAGCCTGATTGATCATTTCCATTCCAGTATTATCCAATACTACAATAGCATTACTGTGGGCAGCAACCTCAGCTTCAAAAGCTTGATGTTTCTGAATTTTCGCCTGATAGATGCAATGGCATCAAATTAACAGATTAGTATTAGTCAATGAAAGTGAACTAACATTACAGATTTTATTATTCATAGCCCAGGCTCAAGCATGACTAATTTCTAATCACTTTTATTCAATTAAGAGAAAATAAATGTTCTGTTTATCCTTTTACTGCACCATTTACATTCACTTATATTGATGTCATCAGGCCAGGCTCTTTCTTACATTTCATTTTAGGATATGAAGTGCAGCACAGGGCCTTAATTCTCCTTTGTTAGGCAAAACAAAGGTTTAATTATTAATCTGAAATGTATCATGACAAATTTCATTCTTCCCATAATGTATTTTGAGTCTGACTTACCTATGGCTTTGATCACACTATTTACAGTTACTTACAGGCATATAATCCTCTTTGACATCACCTTAACCCTCTACAAAGTAAAAGGACGTAGTCTTAAAAACAAAGTGCCACGCAAATCCATATGGACAAAATGCAAGGAAGTCGTACTAATCCAGTCAAACATAGTTTCAATCTCAGTCTGGAAATGTAGTCACCACACTGTTTTATATACAGCCTCCATTGTCTACTGTGAAGATGGACCACTAATAATAAAACACCGAGTCACAATTGAGATTACAATCCGCAATTCTACTGCTCTAAAATCCTCAAATCTCTATCTGCATATTGCCCCCCTCCCCCACCTCCTTACTTTTGGTGTTTAAAATCAGTGGAACAAAAGAAGGCAATACATGGGTATATACAGTATGTCTTCCTTGGAGAAGCAAAATTACATGTATTAAAATTTCTCTTCAGTTTTGACAAAAGCAGGGAAGAATACAACTACATGGCAAAGAAACAGCATATAAAAGACTGAGAAAATGTAAACATGTACCTCCAGAGATAATAACAAACAGAAATATATAAAAACACATTCTCATAGAACCTTAATAAAAGAGAATTAAATTTATAACCTTACTTGCAAATTGGTTGGATCTTTGTAACTCTCATCTGAAGCTGCTTGTAGTTTCTCATATATCCAAGATTCGAGTTCGTCTGCATCTCGTTTAAAGTACTGAAAATAAAGTCAGATGAGACTACTTTCCATTCAAATATGCACATGCACACATAACTACAAAACTGGCAACTGTCTGGAAGAAACCAATATACCACATCACATGAGACTACTCTACACTGAACCACAAAACATTACAGCACTTTGTACTCACCAACCTATTGTCTTGAATTTTACCTTTCATTATATTCCAATACACTTGCTTTAAAAGCTAAATTATCTCTAAAATCAACAGAACCTGCCTGCCGCGACAGTGCCCCACGTGATCCGATCTGAGGACACTGCCAGGCGGGGAGTTTGACTGGGGCGGTACATCTGTCTTTGCTGGCATGAATATTATGGATATATCACCTGGAAACGTCGTGAATCCTCCAACTTCTCCCTTTTCGCTCTTGCTTCTGACTTGAAATCTCCATATCGATTCAATACTTGCTCTCTACGCTCCTGTATATCATCAGCTGTTTCCAGTATCTTCACTTCCTTTGGTGTTATTTGATCCATATTGGAATGTTCTGAAACATGATTTTACCCTTCTTCCTCAAATGTAAATTTTCAATTGCAATTCTGTTAGTATTGCACTGCAAGTCAAATGTACTGGTACAAATAATTAGAAATCTAAACATAAAATAGTTGTATAATAAATTACAACAAATATTGATTGCAATCCAGTGATCCCTATTAATCTACAAATGTTGATTATTGTACCAGTGGGGGTAGTTAAAACTAGATTATGAAATTATAAATGAGGCTATTAAAAAAATAACACCCGACTTAAAAAGCTGCAGTTCATAAAATAAGGAATGTAAGGTTATTCCTTTATGATATAAAACCTCATAGATTTTACTTAGATGTGGTACTGATGAATCACCTGAAATCTGTGATTAAGCAATAAACAATGCCGGTGGTTCTCCAATGATCCCAATCAAGAAAGCTTACAAACAACATGCCAGAACTACTAGTGTCCCCCACACTTCTGTCCAACAAATTGAGGAACAAACAAAGTTCTTTGTGGTGAATGTGAATTTCTGACCCCCACATAAGAACAGGAAACAGGCATCAAAATATGAGCTGGACAGGTTCGACAAAGCTGCAATTTGAAAAACTACTGTAATGAAGGAAAGGGCTGAGAAAGGGGTTGCTTCAGCAAAAACTGGAAGCAGACATTCATTTCCAAGGAAGTAATACCATCCAGAGGGGAATTTTGAACCAAAATCCAAGTCGGAGAAAACTAAATCACACTGCTTCATGTTAATAGAAAAAGAACAGTCATCTTACTAACATGAAAAATGTCTTAAAAACACTTAAACCATTCAATGAAAACAAAATCTTATTCATGCACAATTTTCTAGCTCTTACAACAAATACCATTAACTTCTGCAGACACCTCTTCACTATGAACTAACATCTGATACGTTCACTACTCTTGACTTGCACCACAATGAGCTTGTGACGATTGAGGGGTGTGGTGCAGACGAAAAGTACTGCATTGCTGTACTTTCAGTCAATATCACCGAACTTTGAATAGTTGGATGCCCTGTAACCAACCACTCTACTCTGACCACTATTTCTTGACTACGCATTCATGCCTAAATATTGCAACGGTACCATAATTTTTAATATCCAGTTTATTTCAAAAGTGTTATAGAGTGACTTGGGTGTGGCATTGACAATAGTATTGACCCAAATATTATTCTACCACAAGACAATTTACAATCTTGTATGTGCTTTGTGAACAAAAGTATACTTTATAAAACAACTTTAAATATATAATATTACCTTATATTTATGTTTCTCACTTTACAATACAATAAACAATGGAGACCGTTCACTTCTCACTAATCGCTCAGACAACACCTTTTTACTCCATTACGTCATTCACAATCTTTTAGTGACATCATAAATAGATGCGCTGTTCTAATTGACGCACGTTTGCCCCATTTCATCCATCTATGAACAAACAATTGCATAGAATAAATAAATTAGTTTATATAAATAACGCCCTTCCTTAGAAGCTTATAAGTAGTACTACATTAAAAAAAAATTACTTTACAGCTACTTAATTTAAGTATATGGAGGAAAGTCCAACCCTTTTTCCGCACAGTGGATGCTCCACCTCTCAGAAACCGAGTGTGTTATGTGAATGTTTAAACAGCCATTTTCAGTCAACAAAAAAATTACCTTCCAAATATTGCAATTTATAATTCCGAACAGTGTTAAGTTTGAGTGCAACATACATTTTATTCCGATAATCATTTTAAGTCTTTAACAATTAAAATTATTCATGCCTTAAAGACATTTCTTTTCAGTAACCGTGATTTTGGTTGGTACTACCGTATTATGGTGGAAATAAGTAAGGTGCATACTCAAGGTGCTAATGAAACGTATTACGTGATCGTCACCTGGAAACAGCTTGTTGCATTTCGTTCTGTTAATTATTTATTTTAGCAATTGGATTTGACGCTTAATATATCTGCAGTACATCAAATGATGCTATACCTGAAACATGTGGTGTTAGTGATCTATCTTCGTGTGAAATGTATGAAATCTATTGATGGTATCGTGATCATTATTTTCTTGTTACCAAAATTAAGTTCTATATGAAGATGACTTCTTTGGGTTGTTTTACCATGTAGTCTAATAGATACTGGCTGATGGTGCAGAGGAGATTACCCCAATAATAGGGGCAATAAGCTCCAATGAAATGCCAATCAATATTCACCAGACTACATAATGAAAATCCCACAAGACAGACACCTACATACTTGTTATCTTGAGAATTCTTACCAAGCTTATCATGTTTTGCGTTATGACAGCTTATAGTTTAAATAGTAGACCTCCCAGAAACAGCACGCCTTTTATATTTCCATTCAGTCATACAGTATTATATCCAGGGGCAATGCTTCAGACAGCAGCAAAATGCAGAGAAAATACAATAAGTATTATATGTTAAAAGTTGAGTTCACACTATTACAAAATTGTACCTGTTAAAAACAAAGAGTTTTCATAATTAGTGATTTGTTACAAATACATCAACCCATTAAATACAGTAGATCCATGAAGACAAGAAAACTTTGATGAACATTGTGTCTTATTTGTGAAGATTAGAAATTAATCAACTGAGAAAAAGGAATGTTTGTAATTAACTGTATTTTAATGCTACCCTAAACTGTGCCTTTTTATTTAGAAGACTGTTGAAACTTGATGGTAACATTTTGATGCCTGAAAAATATTCACTGTCCTGAAAACATGAGAGGTTGGCAGTTGATCTGTGAAGCTGTTTCTTATTTTATGTGTTGACACTGTACAGCAGCATTAGTTTACAAATGTTCTTGGTTATTTACGATGGAATTCATTAATGAGAATATGTATTCCCATGTAACAGCTAAGATCTCTAATTTCTTGAATAGACTCTTATATGAATTTCTGGGTTTGACACCAATCATTAATCTAACAATGTTCTTTTGTAAAGTGAATATCTTTTTGCAGTTAATTAAATTACCCTATATAATTATTCTATACTTCATTATGGAGTTAAAAAGATAAATAAACTGTTTTGAGTTTGTCAGTGCTGCTGATATAAACGAAGATCTAACTTTGTAATGTGCTGCACTTAACTTAGGTATCAATTTATCAATATAATTTTTACAATTTAGGTAGTTTCCATTTTATTTTTTGCTGTTTAATTTGATGACCATAAATACATTCTGTGGGCTTAATGCAGAGTTATTGATCGTTAAAGTAGCTAATAATGTAATTACTTCTTGGTTTTAAAGGGGGTCAGAAGTGTAATTAAATATAATCGAGAATTATACGAAACATGGTCGACGATCATTTTACTTGAAAGCGTAAACACATTTTTCAGCTTATTTCAAATACTAGCAAGGAAAGTTCCATGAACTTTTTTCAACATACGTGGATAAGTATAAAAATTGAGATTCTTGAATAGAGTTTAGATTACTTTAATAAATACTACAGAAGCAAGAGCAAGATCTAAGAAGACGTCATGCTGTGGTCAATTTAATTTCTCTTCCACTTGGGTATACTTTATTTACTCCCACCATGCCTTACCGTGTACTGCTCATGACTTCAGAGAAACTTCAATACATGAACGCGACCACGATTACGATCGTTATTTATCACTGCCATATTCTGTTATCACGGTTGGTACTGATATGTCTGTCATTTTGTGTAGTGTGAATTGTGGAGTGATGTATTTAAATAATTTATTTGATATGAATAGGGGGTTCTGAATGCATATGCAAAAGTTTATGTGCTGCAGTATCAATGGTGAATTTGGTTGGTAATCTCAGAGTCATGGCTTCTGGCAGTGAATCTTGGAAAG